CCGCGCCAGGGCTGCCATGGCGACGGAGTGGGGCGGGCCCCGCGGCGGCCGTTAGGGCCGTGCCCCCCATCTTCTCTGTGTGCCCCCCACACCCCGTGCCCTTAAAGCCTGAACTGCGCCCGCGAACGTGTAGTCACTAAATTACGTCCCCTGAGCCCCGATAAAGCTGGGGCCGCCGTGACCAGATGTCTTCTTAAGCGGGAGTTTGTGGCCCAGAAGCAGTTTTTCCTCTATGAAGGGTGTAATGTTTAAACTTCCTTTCCTGCTAACGTGTTGGAAATCTAAAAGTAAAGGAGAAATTTAAGGCAAATTCCTCTTTATCCTGAAAAGTGAATGGTGGATGGTCTGTCACATAGAGTGACCCTAGGCCACGTACTGATGTGTTGTGGGAGAAATTCACTTGTGATGTCTTTCAAATAGTGCTTTAAAAATGTAAATTTCCAAAAAGCAACAGAGTCCAGCTGGCCACGAAAGCAACCTCTTACCTCAGTGAAGAAATCAGAGCTTGCAAGTCAGGAACAGGGAACTAGCGTGCTCAGTACATCTGAGAGGAGTTACATGAGTTAGTCCCATTCTATGGGTAAAAGTAGCTTATTCCTTAATTACTCATTCAGTAATTAATCCAAAGAGATCCAAGAGTGAAGTTACTCTAATAAAAATCCCACATGCAGCATTTGCCAGGAGGTTTTTCTGCAAGCCGCTAAAACGTGGCCTCATTTAAATGTTCTCACTTCAACATGACTTCTACAAGAGGCATGGAAGAGGATTTTAATTGCAAAATGGACATTTTACTTGTTGATAACTCCTTTTTACCCCCTAGAAATGATTTTTGATTGTAGATGTATCAATGCTGGATGATGGATGGCTTTAGTCTATCTAACCCAGTACTCACATGTTTCAGAAAACTTGAATATTATGTCCATAGCTGAAGTCTTTTCCTAACTCCCAGTCCTTGATCATCAGCCTATAGCTTGCTTTAAAGTAAATAGAAAGCTTTTTTAGTTCCTTTTATGATTTTTGATGCTCCTATTAATTGTACAAATGTCTGATACTCTTTGAAAATTACTTTCATTCTTGGACTCCCTATTATATCAATCATTTCAACAGTCTAATATTGCTTCCTATAAAACTAGCTTTCCTATAAAAGCAACTGTCATGAATACCTTATTTTCTTGCCAAAGCCAAATCCTTTGATAGCATTTTGCCTTATTTTCTCATGTTTCTTTTTGATGTGAGGTCAGTGATACTTTAGAAAATGTCTGTACTGTTAACTCCTCCACACAGAATCTGTAAATCCAGAAAGCCCCAAATCCAACAGTATCTTTTTCTATTCTCTAAAGCAGATGCTTGACTGCATGTGGATGGGAAATTTAGGAAAAGCTCTAAGGAAATTAATTACCTTAAGTTCTTGTGGTTACATGTCTGTTTTAAACCTCTTGGAAATAATCCAGATGTTTAAACTATTAGATTGTGGAGCTTTATATAGTTTCCAGATACCTCAGATATCTGAAGTTCCCAGTATCTTCAGATACCTGAACTTAACACAGAGAGTGCAAGCACATGAGAATCTACACTGTATCCAAAGAAATAGTTACCACATTTGGTATTGGCTACAGCAAGATCACTCTACAGAAAATACTTTTCTGTTAATGAATTGTTCAATGAACAATTGTTCATTGTTCAATAACTTATTCCTCTTTAACTTTTTTTTTTTTGCTTCATTGTTCCAATTCTGAATTTCAGAATCTTGAATTCTCAGTATCTTGTGCCTGAGGTAATGTGGGCTGTTTCTTTTTTTTTTTGTCTGACCCAAATGATCTTTTTCTTCACAGTCCCCTGCCTTTGTTCCTATACATTTTTTCACCATTCAGATGATCAGAAGACTCAAATCCAAGTGAGCGTTTTGAGAAACCTGGCAACTATTCTCCTTGTTACTAGGCAACACTGCAAGAATGCAGCTATTTCTACTAGTTTCCTTACAATCAGCAGCCACAATATCCCAGAAATGTCCCCAGTTTGGAATTTCTGACCTCCAATGGCAACACATATCAAACCTTAATGTGTTTCTGAATGGTTTAATTCATGTCCTTGGCCTTTGGATCCCCTTAGCACTAAAGAGTGTGTGTGTGTATGTATATTACTCCTAAAACATATATATATATATATATATATAAAACATACAACATATGTATGTTTTAAGTTTAATTAAAAAGTAACATATATGTGCAGTGCAAAAACGCATCAAGGTACTAAATGTATTACAGGTACTAAATAAAAATAAAGCCTAACAGAAATTGAGTCAGTCTTGGTCTTTGATCCATCCACATAGCTAAATAAATAAATAAATCACTGCAGGGAGTCTATCATTTTCAAGGAAGCAATAACATGCCAAAACCTGCAAAATTTGTTCTTTCCCATTTGGGAAAAAAAGAATCACTACAATTTCCAGGATGCTTTAGAATAGCAGATAGTTTTGAAATGCATCAACACTGAGTGGGAACAAAAGCAGCAGGAATATATTTTGTGAGTTTCATTTGCAAGTATAGACGAATATTTGTCTTCTTCCTGCTACTCCTAAGGCCACTCTTTAGGTTTCAGACGCTCTTCCTACCTAACATGAGTTTACATAGGTATCAACCACTTGAATACTCCCTCTATCCCGTGTAGCATTGAAGTTAGGCACCTATTGCTATGGAAAGTTAAAATATATACTGAAAGATAGCATTCAGCAACAACATGTTGTTCTCAAGACCAAGGTTCTAGTATATTTTGGTGACGGAAACAAAGTCATTTAAGAAAAAGATTTCAAAAAGCATACTGTTTTACAATGCATGTCAGACATTTACCTCAAAAAGTTACTTTTGCATTTCAGTTAGAGACCTACTAATAATATCAGAGCTCTTTTGTTCCTTTTTTTTTATCTTGGAAAAATAATAGTTTGTATGTACACTGAAGAAGTAAAATCTGTGGGTTTTTTGGAAAGTCTTGACTTATTTCAAGCAATTCACTTTCTTTTCCCCATCCCTTTCAATCAATTAAGCGTACATATGCAAGCAGAAAACATTTCAATAACCAAATCTGCAAGTTGTATTCGTATAGTATTGAAGAATGGCCCTAAATTCATCAAACTTAATGATGGAAATGAATCTCTTGGGTTTATCTGAGTGTTTATTCAGATCACCAATTCTTTGAGCTTGGTATCAGCACCCCTTCTCGGTGCGGGTTTGTCACCCCTTTGTGCTCACAGGTGTCATCGTACCAGTACCCTCACTGCTACTTCTCAGCAGGCTGAGATTCCCTTGCGCCATTCCTGTCTGGCATGTTCAGCCCATTAACTTCACAATCCATCCTGCTACGACTATTGAGAAAGAAAAACGTTTCCCTCTGACATTGGAGGAGGCAATACTTTCTAAATGCATTTGAACAGGATGCTTGAGCGGTTTTTTTTGCTACCTAATTACAAAATTCCTGTGTCAGGCAATTGGAGTAGTTTTCACAGAAAGAGTGTGAGGTAGAAGAGACCAGACTGAAGTAACTACTGAAATAGGAGGGTGCAGAAAGGGTGGTAGGTTCTTTTCTGCCTCATGCTTGGCATAGTGCTGAGTGTTCTTTGGGTCATTTAGTCCTCAGAGGTATCTAACATCATGTGCAGTCTTAAAATAGAGTTGCAGTTTTCAAGATGCTATGAAAGTCATGTGTTCTGATGGAGCTGAAGACTCTTTCCCTTTCTTCATGGTAGCACATTGAGTTATTTTGTTATTGCTTGGATGGCAGCAGTGATCAGAGATCTTTATAAAGGCTAGGGCTCTACTGGAAAAAAATGAGGCAGGAATTATTGAGGAGATGCTCTATGCCTTCAAAACTGTGTGTTAATACTCTAGCATTTAGAATGCAGTAAGGGATGCTAACTTCAATTAGGAAGAAATGTTATAAGGAAGATTAGAGTAATTATAGTAATATATAATGACACAAGGTTTCTATGAACACAGTATAAAACTGCCTTACTATTTTTCAAATTAGAAGAAAAAGTCTCCCTTGCAGTTGGAATAAATACTAACAAAACCCTTTCAGGAAGCTGTTGTGCAGATGTACTCTCTTTAAATATTCTTTTCTTCAGTTTTATGTGGATTCTCACAAGGCATCTGTCCTTGTGCATAGGAGTGCCTATTTTTGAATATCTCAAAGGGAAAAAGCAACTATAAATTGTACAGTATATTGTTCTATGCTATAATATAAAATCTAGTAGCTGGGATGACTCAAAATCTGCTTATTCTTACAGGCTGCCATTTTCTGTTTATCTACTGTTCCCATGAAAGTTTACAGATGGGAAGTTTGTACATGAAATACTGTCCTTTATTAGTGCTAACGGCTGAGAGCTCTTCTGTTCTCATTACTTTACTTGAACTATTAGATATGAAAAGAATGCAGACTGCAGTTGTTAATAGAATAATTGGGACTTTAAAGTATAAAAACCATGTAAATGGTAGATCTGTTGTCTAGACCATAAGGAGTGTTCTGTTCTCTAAGAGATACACCTATTGTGTCACATGGGAATGTTACTCATTGTAGTTAGTAAAAGGAAGAACACCTATTTTCAATATTTCAGTCAAGAATAGATAACTAGGAGTCAAATTAGACCCATATGAATGACACTGCTCCATATCCTGCCTGGGTCAGAATGGATCTTTGGTGGCTCCCCAGCCTGTGGTAGGCAAACAGGAGAATGTCAATGTGGCATTTCCTTCGGCCCATCAACCTCCTTTAGGTCTCCTCTGTGAGCAGACGGCTCATGTTTGCCTAGCGGTGTATTAATCCATGCACCTGAACAAACAGGATCTCACGAGCCCAGGAGAGTATCCTTTAGCTTCACCAAGGTCAAGAGAAGGAATTTTCAAGGGCAGCTTTAGAATTGTCAATAAAAGGCAATAAAAATACACAGCACTTTGATACATTTTCCATATCTGCATGACTTTGTGCATGAGTGTGAAATGCAACTGTTAACAGAAATAGGCTGAAATTCACAACTGGAATAAATAAATAAATAAATAGATAAATATTATATATACATTTAATTTAGGTTTGAAAAAGTACTGTATTGCATGTGTGCTTTCCATACAAGAAGACAAAGAAAACAGACTGTAAAAATCTCTTGCAGGCTTTGCTTCATAAAGGATGGAGAATTTTTGTTGCTTCAACCACTGTGAAAACGTAGAAAGAAAGCAATGGGGAAGAAAATGGCCGGAAGCAAAACGGAGAGAATGAAGTTTAACTCTGGTGCTGAAATTCTGTGAGAGTAATATGTTCTTCAGAATCATTTCATCAGTAGTTAAAAAGAAATCATAGAAGGAACTGCAATAAGCTCTTCTGTTACTCAGTCTGGGCATTCCTTTTAGCTAGAAGTTTTATTCCAAGGAAAATGCCTGCTACTTACCAAATTCGTATGTTGATACGGGCTTCATGAGACTTAAGTAAGTCCAGTGGATTTTGACAGAACCTGAGTTTTATTACTCTTACTCTTTTTAACTTTAGTATTCAGGCACTTTCTTTATATCGTTGTTGTTTGTTTGTTTGCTATAAAAAGCTGTGTCACCACAAAAGGAGAGGAGTTCAGCTTGATGAACTGCTCACAGACACAAGAGTCAAGATGCCCAGGGACTGTTTATATCTTTGCCAGTGTCTCATTTCATCTTGTGTACCCTGAGCTGGATGCCTTAGTTTGTTGCTGTCTAAATCACCTTCGTGTGATTCACAGTTAGTAGTAAAAGTGGAGACATTCAGAGCTAGTGCACTTGTCTGCATATTTGGGAAGAGTCTTTTTGTACTGTGTTCCACATCAATAAAAATGTAAGGTCCTTGAATATCCTTTGAATAATAAATACCCAAACTACAGATTGAATGATATGGATGTTCGAAGGAGAGAATATTTGATATCATTGATGTAGTGTCACTGAAACCAATAGGAAAAGGCTGTTTCTAAACATTAATCATCAATATCTGCTGCTGTGAAAGAGTAGTGTAATGAAGTACAGCAAGCAAGATTAGAAGGTGAATTTACTTTCAGCAAATGAATCAGTAATGGAATGTAGAATAGAATGAATATAGAAAAGAGTCTTTTGTCCCATCATAGTTTCATTAATAACAGGTAATGACATCACAAAGATCTCTCCTATAAACCACATGAATGTCTTAAAAGTAGTGTATTTTTATTTTTACAGTCCTCTTTCAATATTTGCTTAGGAATTTAATTCATCAGAAAACTAGAAACCTTTAAATTCATGATCAGTGTATACTCAATTGATGTTGTGCCAATATTACATCCTATTTTGCGAAAGTCTGCAAGGTCTTCTCTCCAGTTCTTATAGACTTCCCATTCCTGTTCCCCTAATTCCCTCTATTCCCAAGTAATTTTTTCTCTTCATCTTTTCCAGTAAGATCTCTGCTAGAAATCTTTACCTGATTAATATAAATTTTCTTTTCCAAGGCTTTCACATCGATGGCTCTTAGCCATTCTGCATTCACTTAATATTCCCATATCTCTCAAATTTTTCAAAATTTACGGTGGAAATATCAAAACTTCCCAAGATTTTCCATCAGGCAACATGTCAAACACTTTGCTGAAACATTGGTAGCAAAGAATCTCTTTATTGAAATTGTTTAAGAAGTTAGAAGAAAAAAGTATTGAAGAAATATACATAACCTATTGTTGATAAAAAAAGAAAAGATTGTATTTTATTTCACTTTTTATTTGCTTCCATGCTCTTGATTTCATTTTCCTTTAAAGTGTATCTTAACTCCTCAAACAGTATTGAGATCAAACTAGTGGGCCTGTGTGTTTGGATCATTTTCTCCATCTTTTAAGGATACAGTTCCTATGTTCACATTTTTCAAGTCATTTGGTACTAGCTTCCACTTGGCTTGGTATCTTACTTATGGCTAGCCATGTTGACTCTTTTCTCCTTCTTTCAGCCTTCTCAGACTCTAAAAGAATTTCTGGAGACCGTTTTGTCTGAGCCATAAAAACTCATCTTATCTTCATCTACAAAGAGCTGAGACATTGCAACCATAAAGCAGCCCACTCACCAGTAAATACACAGAAAACTTGACATTTATACCACAAGTTATGGGAAAGGAGCTGTTACCTCCTTTGCTGAAGCTGAAGCTGTAGCAATTTGATTCTTGATTCTCGGTGGTGTTTGGTACACTAATCTCTCAAGTCTAGGGATTGAGGAGATAGCAATTTTAGGCACATAAGTTACTTACTAAAGCTTAATGCAAGCTTAAAATGACATGTTCTTGGATTTCACAATGTTAACAATTTTTAGAGAGAAGAAAATATCTGTGGGAAGGAGATGACATATAAAACAAAGTGCTTATGTTTAAAATGAAGTGGAGGTGAGGACAAGACTGCCTTTTAGAACTTTGTCTTCAGATCTGCAGATTTGGAGATACATTTTATTTGCTAATGTGGAATCAGTTGAATTAAAAATATTTATTTTAATATAGTCCAGACAATTGCAGAAACGTTTCATTTAAAAAACAGAAAAGGGGATGGGAGTAGTTCAGCCATGTTAAACCTGCTGCCTTACCTTTGTCCCCAAGAAAAATGATCGCAGTTTCATTTGCAGAGAATAGAGCTAGGCTGCATTCTTTTTTTTTTAGCCACTGATAATATTCTTTTCATTTGAAAATTTCAGTTCTTTCAGATCTTTGTAGATTCTGAGGAATACATTATTTGTAGGGAGCTCATGTTGTGTTGTGGCTGCTTCAGCATCACTGATCTGAAAATTTAATTCCCCCAAATAATGAACCGTTCAGCTATATAGGTTTACTTTCAGCTGGAAAACAGAGAGCCAGTTCCCATGGCAGCCTACCCAGCTCTAAAGATGCCATAGTCTGTCAGACTGTTGTGTATTCAATGTTTGCAACAGCTGGATTTCCTCCTACTACTATGTGTGAATCAGAAACGAATACTAACAAAAGGAAGTTGACTGCGTTGTACTGCTAACCCCCTAATTAATGAGTAATGAATGTGATGGCTGAGGATAAAATAGGCCAAAAATAGATCCTTAGGTTAGTGACATGACTTGCAAAACTTAACTATTATCCATTTTGGAAAGTTTTATGACAAACAACCATAATCCCAGAGAATTTGGATTCATGCCTAAGCATCTATTCACTTTATCTCAAAAGTTGTGGCTTTGCAAACATATATATGTAAAAACAAATGAAAACATCTTATTTAAATATCTGTCCAAAATCTGAGTGAAATAGAAAAAACAAGTCCTAGTTGCCATGAAGGTGTCACACC